TGTGTGTGTGTGTGTGTGTGTGTGTGTGTGTGTGTGTGTGTGTGTGTGTGTGTGTGTGTGTGTGTGTGTGTGTGTGTGTGTGTGTGTGCCCATGTGGGGCACGGTATCAACAGCTGCTTCACAAACAACCCCTCCCCCTCCCCCCCCCGACACACATGCCGTTCGCCCACTTCTCCTCACCACTGTTCTTCTTCTATTCGCTTTACACACAGATATGTACCATGCCAAGCCACCCGGTGCCAACGTCCTGAAGTCGTTCGCGGACTGGTGCTCCTTTTCTCCCTGGGTCATGTTCCTCATGGCGCAGTGCTGCGTCCACTTGACCTGGGTGGTACGTTCCCACGTAGTCCATCGTGATCGTGTGCTGTTGAGTTGCGGGCCTGACGTGCGTTTGTTTCCCCTTCGCCCTTGCCTCACACAACAACAACAACAACAACAACAACAACAACAACAACAACAACAACAAAAACAAAAACAAAAACAACAACAACAACAACAACAACAACAACAACAACAACAAAAACAAATATAACACGACACGCCACAACAGGCATTGCTGCTGGGGATGCAGCTCAAGCAGGTTGCCATCACAGGCCTCACGACAAACGAGGAAATCAACATGTACGTGTGACATGCATTTTGCTGGGTTCGCTTCCGTGTCCCCCCCCCCCAACCGGAACCTCGCTGCCACCGTTCCCTTCCGTTTTCACTTCTTCCTTCTCCAAAACAACAGCAGCCTCTCTTGCTTGCTTGATGTTGAGTTGTGCATCCTTTCCTCTCCCTCGCACACACACACACACACACGCACTCGCACACACTCTCATTCTCGGTCCTCTGAATCAGGTGGAAGTACGATTACCTGCAGGGCTATCGCCGCAGCCCTTGGCATCGTGGCGCCATTGGCAACCTTGTGGAGCTGTACACGCACTCCACGGATTGGACATCCGTGTTTGAGACCCCGGCGCAGCTGCACCACCGCGCAACGTCCCTGGCGCGCGTCAGCGCCAGCGACAATGCACCAAGCGAGCGCGCATCCCTGCTTCCACCCTCTACCCCGTCCTCGAAGTGATGCTACCACGTCACACCACAACCCTCCGCAACACAACCCTCCACAACACACCACAACACGCACACTCCACAACACAACACACCACCACATTGCCTGTGACTGTGAAATACATATTAGGCTGTGCTCATTTGCAGGCTTCTATTGTAGGCCTTTTGTGTTTGTGCGCTTCTTGCTTGTTTGTTTTGTGCGCCCACTTGCATGCGTGCGCTTTGTTCTTTGTTCGTTTGCTGGATTTGCTGACGCCCTACCACCCGATGACATCATCCTTTTGAGCGATTCAACTTTTAAACTTTGACGACGCAAGCACGTTGCGTACTTGCGTTCTGTTCCTGACACACAAGCGAGCTTGCGTTGCATGTCTTGCATCAGCAGTCTTTGCGTGGAATTTTCTCGAAGTGTTGTCAAAACGATGGGGGGAAAAATTGTCACACCAAGGCTTTGGGTAAACCCCGCGTTCGCCTTGCTTCTTTCGCTTTGCTTGTTGTGTGATGTGATGCACGCGCACACGTGTGTGTGCGTGTGCACTTTTTTCATTTCCCTTGTCGACAGCGTGTTCAGGAACAATCCACGCTTGGGCACCTCGACCCGTTTGACAGGTGTGCTTTGCTTGACAGCACTCGTTTCCTTGGTCATGCATGGATACGATCTCAGTGTTGATCTGTCCGATTGATCGCATCAGAAGATGTCTCACACACACGCACACTCACGCGCACACGCATGCACACACACACATACACACTGTTTCGTTGCCCGATCGCTCGCACGATGCTGCAGGCAACAACAACGCAACGATGGCGCCCCGAGCTTCTTGGGCTGCCATCCTGTTCTCCTTGATGGTCGTAGTGGCCTGCTTCGGCGGTCACGTGGCTGCTGAGATCACGAGAACAATCCGGCTCGATGACAACACAACAGCGACGCACTCCACCTATCGCATTGCTGCTCTCAGCGATCGCGGTGAGTTGTTTTGCATGTGGGCGTGAAACTTGCGCGATGTGTGTGTGTGTGCGTGTGTGTTGAGAATACATGCGATCCCACCCTCAGGTGATGTGTTGTGACGCGTGCCACTTGTGATGGCGCGAAATTGCCAACGCTGTTGCGAACACAGCTCATCACACACACATACATACTTACGCACATACACATTCACTCACTCACTCACTCGCTCACACACTGCCCTTAGGCTTTGACTACTTCAACCGCACGATGGCGCCAACCTTTGACGAATATCTCAACAACGTTGTGTCAAAGAAGTTTGATGGCCTGGTTGAGTTTGTAACATACCCAGCGCGATTCCGCGATCTCCTGGATGAGGGTAAGGAAGACAAGTTTGACTTCGCCTTCACCAACCCGGCCATCTTCACGTGCGCCGAGGCCGAGCTGGCCATGTCGTCCCTCGTCACCCTTCGTCGCAACGAGCTGGGTCAGTGGGGCAGCGAAGCGCTGGAAGTACACACAACAACAGATGAGACTGTACATGTGCACACTGCCAGTCGGCGTGCAACTAGCCAGAAGTGGCCCTTGTCTGCCTTTCCAATCACTGCTATGGATAGCAAACACCTCACGACCACATGTTTCACGCTTCATCATTTTGAATCCGCCTCCCCACCTTGACTCACCGTCATTCATGTGCGATCGACAGGCGAGCAGCTGAGCCAGTTTGGTGCGGTCATCTTCACACGGGCCGATCGCGATGATATCAACGGCCCAATCGACATTGCTGGCAAGACTGTCGCCGCCGTATCCTTCATTACCTTTGGTGGCTTCCAAGCACAGTGGGGTCTCTTGCGTGATGAAGGCTTGGATTTTCTCGTTGATACGAAGCAGGTGCGGGCGGGCTTGTGTGTGTATGTGTGTGTGCGTGTGGTATTGGGAGCTGGAAGAAGGGGAGGCCTGTGATGCGGTGCTGTAGTGTCGCGTCACGCGTGCGAGTGGCTGAGACAATCGTGCTCACCCTGGTGTTTTCTCGTTGCATCTCCACCTGGCCAACCCAACACAGATCAAGTTCACGGACGATGAAAACTCGGTGGTCAATGAAGTGATGGAAGGCAAGAGTGATGTTGGGTTTGTCACCAGCGGCGTCCTCGAAAGTAGGTTCTGGTTTTATGGCTGTGCGACTCTGTGTGTGTTGCTGTGGTGCTCAGCGAGGAGCATGACTTCGGTACACAGGCACACACATTCGGGCTTGACTCCTTGTTCAATGTAAACACCCTCCCCATCTCACACACAAACACACACACACACAACCATCACCGGTGTGTACTGCAGTGCAAGTGTTCAACGGCACCCTGGATTTGAAGCAGGTGAAGATTATCCACGCACAGAGCGTCATTACGACGGATGGAGACGTCTTTCCATTCATCACTTCGACCGAAGTGCTGTCTCCGGAGTGGGCCTTGGCGGCCATGCCACGCGTCAACTGGCAGGTACAGCACGAGCTTGATCCGCAGAAGCACCATACGCACACACACACACACACACACGCACACACGTTCTCTCTCTCTCTCTCTTTTATGCGTGTGCATACAACCAGCATGTAATTTAGTCAGTGACCACACCCCCAGGTGACATGACATGACATTGCTGTGTGGGGTGGCTGCATTGTTGAATATCCTGACGCCACCACCTGCATCACGTCCACCACCATGACCACAACTATCACCACCTCCACCACTACAACGCAGGTGCAAGCAGCTGTTGTCGATGCCCTCATCGCCATCCAGCCCGACTCAAAGTACGCACTGCTTGGAAACTACGTTGGTTGGCAACCGCCTCTCTCTTACACCGTCACGCGCGCCCTTCAGGTACGCCATCACCTGCAGCACAACAGGCAACTGCCTGCGTCTTTGCTTCGCTGCTTCTCTTCTCCTCCTGGGCAATGCATCCCAACTGCTTCGTCGCACTCGTGCACACACTGTGGTTGTTGTTGCATTCTCACTCCATCGGGTGCACCACCATTATTGTCCAATCTGCCTGCTGACACGCACACACTGTGGTGGTTGCATTCTGGCACCATCCATTGTCTCATGCGCTCACACACATGCAAACAAACTCACACGCAAACAACCGCACATATGCAACAGGTGTCGCTTGGCGTGTTGTTTGATGACGGTCTCGGCTCCTTCTCGTGTGTGCGCACCAAGTCCATCATCGATGCTGTGGTGTGCCCGTTTGGATTTGTCAAGAAGTCTGTAGAAGAGGTCGCCAATGGCTGCGAGATGGCTGGCATCATTTGTGAGGACGGCTACGACTGCCTGTGCCAGCCATGCGAGCCCGCGTGCCCCTCCAACGCCCGCCTCCTGAGCACTGGCAGCTGTCAGTGCGAGTCTGGCTACATTGACTTTGGCGGCGCGTGCGCGCCCATCATCGCCCTCGTCATTACCATCCTCATCCCGCTGGCGGCGTTCATTGTCATCATCGTCGTCGTCGCCATGCGCTACCAGCAGAACAAGGTGGATCTGTTGTGGCACATTGCGCCCCACGAGCTCAAGTTTGAGGACCCCGTGGAGGTGCTTGGCATCGGCTCTTACGGTGTCGTTGTCAAGGCAGAGTACCGCGGCACTGCCGTCGCTGTGAAGCGCGTCGGACCACCGGAGAAGCACAAGGGTGGGCGCCACGCGTCCCGTGCAACCCGCGACAAGCAAGGCGTGCTCAGCCCAGCTGTGCTTGCCGGTGTTCGCAGCATGGCCGGGTCCACTGGCTCCACCAAGCACTCTGGGACCGGCAGCAAGCGTGGACGCTCGAAGCGATCTGCGCTCCAGTCTGCGCGCACGAAGGAGAAGCGGGCCATGGACTACATCCTGGAGGTCGGTGGAGCCAAGCGTGATTGCTGTCTTGCTGTGAAACACAGTGTCTGTAGCATTCTGTTGTTCTCCCGCACGTGTGTCTCATGCGCGCACGTGTGGTCAACCCGTGCATGTGATGGGCGTGTGGTCAACCCGTGCATGTGATGGGTGTGTGGTGAGCAAACAGCAGCGTAACATGCCACCGTTGTGCACACCATACTACCTCATCACCACCCCGCTCTTCCCACGCTTTCTTTGCGTCTCACCAACCAACCACATCATGCTCCTCTTGTTTGCTTGACCCGCAATCCCAACCATAGGTCTTTGACGAGGCAGCAGAGCAAGGCCAGGCTGCTGGCACAAAGTCGCACTCGATTGCCAACTCTGCCATGGCGAGCGGTTCTCGCTCACGGAACCTTGTCAGCCGGCTTCTGCACAAGTCCAGCAAGCGCGCCACCCTTGCACGCATGAGGTACAGAGTGTATCGCTTGTGTGTTGGGGGAGTAGGAGGACACAAGATCGGTTGGGTGTGGCTGGGACGAGTTGTGTTGTTGTTGTTGTTGTGGTGGTGGTGGTGTGTGTGCGTGTGTGGATATGGATATGGATATGGATATGGAACGCGCAAACATATGATCGTACATGAGGGAAATGGGAAGCGGAATGATGAAGGGGAGCGTTTCTTGTGTCAGTGCTCTGCTGCTGAACGGTCGAGGCTCACCTGACCGTGGGATAATTGGTACATCAACAGGGCTGACTTTATCACGGAGATGCGCACGCTGTCCAAGCTACGCCATCCGTGTGTGACGACGGTCATGGGTGCTGTGATGATCAACGGATGCGAGCCGATGATGATTATGGAGTACATGGATCTCGGAAGCCTCTACTCTATCCTGCACAACGAAACCATGGAACTCGACGGAGAGACACGTTACTACCTCGTAAGATGACGCCTAACGTGGGCAGCAATGGAATGCGTGGCGTTTGATGGGCTCATGACAGCTGTGTGCAATCTTCGCGTTGATGGTGGAAGTTGTGGCCATCGTTTGGGCCGCTGTGATCAACCAACCTTTATCCTCCTTTCCATCCAATGAGCTGCTATCTCACTGCTGTTTTGTCTGGGGCTGCGACATTGCTGTCTGCTCGCTTTGGTTGTTTGCACAGACGATTGACGTGGTGTCTGGCTGCCGCTTCCTTCATTCGAGCAACCCACCACTCATCCATGGTGATCTCAAGTCTCTCAACGTCCTCGTCGACTCCAAGTTCCGCGCCAAGGTGATTTGCAGACTTTAGGGCTGCGATGCGGGGCTTGTTTTGCAAGACTGTTACACCACTGCGTGTTTGCGAGTATGACTGTCGTCAAGCCGACGACCACTGTGCCTTGCACTGGTGTTACATTGCACGCACGACCTCAATGCCCCCTTTGCTTCTGCGCTGCTGTGATGTGAATATTGTTCTGTATTTTATGTGTGTTAGGTTGCTGACTTTGGCCTGAGCGAGTCTGGTAATGGAAAGGCATGCGGCACCCCCTACTGGATGGCGCCCGAGGTGCTTCGCGGCGAACCAACCACCGTCGCCTCTGATGTTTACTCCTTTGCCATCATTCTGGTGCGTACCCATGCGTGGCAATACCAATGCCCTTGCTTTGGGTATTTTGTGTGTGTTTGTGTTTGTGTGTGTGTGTGTGTGTGCTTGCGCTTATGTGTTACGTGAAGAAGGTTGCGCGCGTACATGAACGTTGTTGTTGTGGTGTTCACTCTGCATTGCGTGCAATACGCGTGTTCAATCCACTTGATGGTGTGCAGTTCATGTCACTTCGGTACTTCATGCTTACATCAACACATGTGGTGTTGTGGTGTTTCAGAACGAGGTCTTCAGCCGCAAGGACCCGTACCCTGTAGATGCTGACCTTGAGAACACGTTGAAGGAGGTTATCAAGCGCAAGCGCCGTCCACTCGTGCCGCCCAACTGTCCCGAGAACATTGCACAGCTCATGCGGGAGGCGTGGCACCCCGACCCGGACCGCCGGCCCTCATTTGACGAGCTGGCGCGCCGATTTGGCCACATTGATCCTTCCAACTGCCGCATGGACGATGGACGAAAGAAGGGCAAGGACTCGAACAAGGTGCTGGAGGACGTCTTCCCGCCACACATCGCAAAGGCCCTTCGCGAGGTGAGCTGGGCTGTCCGTCTGGGCGCGCGTGTATGTACGTGTGTGTGTGTATGGGTGTGTTTTGTGCGTGTGTACGTGTATGCGTGTGTGTGCGTGCATGTGTGTAAGGGTGTGTTTTGTGTGTGTGTGTGTGCGTGTGTACGTGTATGCGTGTGTGTGTGTGTGTTTGTGTGTGTTTTTGTGTGTGTGTGTGTGTGTGTGCGTGCGTGTGTACGTGTATGCGTGTATGTGCGTGTGAATGTAATTGTGTGCTGCACCCTTGCACCGGATGCACTTCTCCTCCACATATCCTCAGTTTGCAACCTGCGCCATTGTGCCCCGCCCGCCTTTCCTCATCCATCCATCCATCCATCCAACCAACCCTAAATCCTGCTCTCTGCTCCTCCCCTTCTCCTTTGCACCGCATCGCACCACCAGGGCAAGAAGATTGAGCCCGAGCACCACGACTGCGTGACCATCTTCTTCTCGGACATTGTTGGGTTCACCAACATCAGCGGCACGCTTGCGCCAGAGAAGGTCATGAACATGCTTGACCGCCTCTACACCAAACTCGACGCCCTCGCCGACGAGATGGAGCTCTTCAAGGTCGAGACCATCGGCGACGCCTACATGGCAGGTGCGGTCACAAGGTGGTGTGGGGGCGGTGCTTGTGTGTGTGTGTGTGTGTGTGTGTGTGTGTGTTGTGTGTGTGCTTGTGTGTGCATGTGCCTGTGTGCTCATGTGTGTGCATGTGTGTGCATGTGCTGAATCTCGTCGTCATGACATGCAATTCCTTTCTCTTCCTCACCATCATCACACGTCCCCCCCCCCCTTGTCACCCTCCCCCATCCCATTCACACCATCAGTGACCAACCTGTTGAAGGAACAGAAGGACCACGCTGCGCGCATCGGCCGCTTTGCCGTCGCCGCCATCAAGGCCGCCAACACCACGCTCATCAACGAGGATGAGCCAGACCTTGGCTGCGTCAACATCCGCGTTGGCTTCCACGCCGGCCCTGTCGTCGCAAACGTCGTTGGCACGAAGAACCCACGATACTGCCTCTTCGGCGACACGGTGAGCATTGGGTGCTGATTTGCTTGTGTGTGTATGTGTGTGTGTGGGAGTGTGTGTGCGTGTGCGTGTGCGTGTGTGTGTCTGTGTGTCTGTGTGTGCTTGTCTGTGTGTGTGTGTGTGTCTGCCACTGTTGTATCACGCCTTCTTTGCCTGTTCTCTCCCCATCCCTTCTCCCCACCCTCTCATCACGCATCCTCACGCCAACCCTCGTCAACCAACACATCCTCCACTCCCGTACCACCACTACCCCAGGTCAACACGGCATCGCGGATGGAGAGCAACAGCGAGAAGAACCGCATCCACATGTCTGAGGCCGCGGCGGAGCTGGTGTCGCAGCAGGCGCCAGATATGCTGCTGGAGCCGCGCAAGGCCATGCACATCAAGGGCAAGGGCAAGATGCAGACGTACTTCTTGATCGCAGACGACATTGACCACGCCAGCAGCAGCGACACGGCAGGTCTGATGGAGGCCAAGCGTAAGAAGGATCGAAAGGCCAACGCTGAGGACGATACGGAGACGGACAGCAACGACGACGAAGATGACGACGACGACAAAGCCGCCAATGATGACAACAGCACCGACACGAAGGCCACCACCAACCCGCCTGCAGAGGAGGCGGACAAGCGCGCCGCGGACGGTCGTGAACAGGACGTGCAGTCACAGCGCACACAGCAGGTGCGGGAGGTGATGCGTAACGGCAACATCCACCGCACCATCACGGAGACGATGCTCATGCCGGAGCCGTCTCCGGAGGACGCACCGTCACGCCGGCGGTCATTGACGGGCAGCAACGGCAGCGCCATGGGGGATCGCCACGTCTCCATCAACAACGTGCTTGAGGTGATGTACGCCGAGAGTGTGCAGTCTGACGACGTCGACTTTGGGGCTGACCGCATCAAGGAGGTGGGGGACGCCGTTCGCGCTGCTGATGCTGCCACCTCCGCCGCTAACAACAGCAAGCAGGAAGCCACCGGCTCTCCAAGTGCAGCCGTGTCCACGCTGGTTGATGCGCTTGCACAAGGCAACGTCAGCCCATACGAGAGCGACGAGGATGACGAGGACGACTATGACGGCGAGGACAGCTCTGACATTGCAGAGGAGCTGCCGGGCGCAATGCCGCGCATGCTGCGCCAAGACTCGCTGTCTCGACGCATCGCCAGCAACATGGAAAGCCCCATCTTCAACGACGGCAGTAACAGCAACAGCAACAGCGGCAGTGGCAGTGGCAGTGGTAGCGGTAATGATGAGCTTGACGGGTTCACACACACGCCAGACATTGCCCACTCGCCAAGCGAGGAAGGCGATACGATTTCCTCGAAGCGCGTGCTTACCGACGCTCACGAGCTCCGTCGCCGCGTTTCCGACGGCAGCGGCAGGAAGAACACGCACCAGCAGGTCAGCGTGCAGCCCGCCACACCGCCCAAGCACAAGAAGGCGCTGAAGAGCACACGTCGCAAGTCCACACCCCGGTCATCTGCTCCCTCGTCCCCAACGCGTTCTGCCACAAAGGCAAGTGGTACGCGTCGTTCGCGCAGCGCTGGTGCACGCAAGCAGCCGCAGGTACCACCTGTCCGCGAGATGGAGCTGATCACGGATGCCGATGACAAGCAGAACGAGGTGCTCATTTGAACCCACATCGTGCTGTCTGGGCATCACGGCAGCTGGTGGTTGCACTCCCCCTTGTGAATGTGTGCATGTGTACATGTGGCGTGGAAAGATGCATACACATGTATGCACATGCTTGTACACCACGCCATGCACACGCGCGCTGCTGATCGCCCATCACATCTCCCCTATTGTTGACACTTCCCGTCCATCGTGCAATTGATTTGAGTGTTTGATTGTGCGAGGTGTTGCTATTCAAACACCATGTCTCCTCCATGTTCCGTGTTGTACAGTGAAGACAGCGTTGAATGTTGCTTTATTCTCTTGCGTTGTTGTGTTGT